GGAGTCAGAAGAGCCATGGCCATTACTTTCCTGGCACGGGTGCAGGACCCAAGAGCACGAAGCCTACGTTGAACCCAGGCATCACCGAGAATGCCAGCAGGGCAGTAGTGACTGAATGGTCAAGGGACATCGCCTTGCGGAACAGAGGAATCAGGACCTCGATGTTCTCCAGCCACCCTAAGGGGAGAGGGCTGCAAGCTAAGCACTCAGGCTCCTTCTCACTCCTGGACACTGACTCTGAACCCGAGGAGCCTGGGAATGGTGCCGTTGGATATCCGTGCCAATTACGTTTAGGAAGCAGCTGGTCAGACTCTTCTCCAAGCTTCCAGCTAGCAGTGAAGCACTGAACTGTGTACACCAGCCAACGCTCCTGCACCGCTGACTAGAGGAGGGTCTAGGCTCCTTCCATGAAGAGCCACGGTCTTAGGCACCCTAGAGGGTCATTATGGGTTCACATCCACTCAGTGGTCGCAAGTGAGAGGTCCCTCCCAGCTCTGAAAGTTAAGTAACAACATCACCGTTTTATGAACGCATTTAAAAAGGAGGAAGAGGAACCCTGAGGTAAGCACTATGCTCTACGTGGTGAGCAGGGTCCTGTGGAAGGGGAGCCAGCATGGCTGATGGGAGGACTGGGTTCTAGGGTAGAGGATGGGAGTGGTCCATGAGCCTTAATGTGTTTTCTCTGAGCACCTTCTCAAGGATGTTTCTCAAGGATGCTGAGCAACAGCACAGGTGCTCCAGACTCCCAAATGAGACGACTCCCACGCACCACCCAGCCCGGCTCACGGTGAACCCCCTGAAGCTCACACAAGAGTCCCCTTACACACACAGGCCATTTGGGCATGTCCGTTTGGGGGCTGGTTCCGAATCTAGTTCTTTGAATTTCTCTGGGCCTATTTTTCTTTGCCGCTAAATTGATGATAGAAAAAGGCAGGCCTCCAAACACCATCAGTTCATTAGACAGAAGAAAGGGCAGGTCCCTACCAGTACATCATCCCAGTGACTGAGAAAATGGATCATAAACGTGTCTGTCTTTGCAAGCATGTCTTACAGAGCAGAACCGCTCTGCTGAGTGTTCCTGGCGGTGATCTCTGTGGAAGCAGACGGCCAGACCTTTCTTAGGGGGTACTGCTGGGTAGGTTGGAACCACCCACCTCTAGGTCAG